TAAAATGACCAGAGAAACAACACAGTGGGTAAGGCCTTGCAGGTGGTCAACAAAAGTTCAACCCTCGGTATCTCATATGGTCCCCTGAGCACTGTCAGGAGTGATTCCTGAGTGCAGAACCAAGAATAGCCCCTGAGCATTGCTAAGTGTGGCCCCAAAACACCAAAAGCAAAAGTAATACTAAGAGGGTTAGAAAGTGAAATATTTACATGCAAAACTACACGACATTTGAAATTTCCTTTCTAAAATATCATATAAATGTGGGGTTTTGGTGAAAAATGAAGCAATATTGGTGAAAGCACTGACAACTGGTAAAACTGGATACTGGCGTAAGAAAATTCAATATACAGAGACAAATATAAGGTTATTCAATAGTTTCTCTTCTTTGATGCATGTATGAAAACTTTAATAATACAAAGAAAATCCATGCAAATGAAAAACAAGTTGGCAATTTAAGAAAGTCATATTATATGCTATAAGCTTCAAAATCACACAAAGTCCACTTATTGTATAATTGCATGTATATGAAATAGTCAGAACAGGCAGATATATAGAGACACAAAGCAGATTAGTGGTTGCTTAGCGCTGGGGCCAGGGGAAGGAAGAGAGATTGCTAATGGGCTTGTGGTTTCTTTTTGGAGTGATGAAAATGTTATAAAATTAAATGACAGTGATGGTTCTACAAATCTGTAAATATACTAAAAAGCATTGGATTATGTACTTTAAATTGTTGAATTTTATGGTGCGTAAATTATATCTCAATAAAGCTGTTGTTAAAAGAGCTTAATAGTAAAAGGAAAAGACCATCACCTCCTTTACTAGGTCTGAATGCCTTCCCCCAGTCCCTATATGGAACTGTAAACCAAAAGATGTTATCAAAACTTAATCTCTGCTCTTTTCCCCAGTTATCAAGAAGCAGTCGCTGTCCCAGGCCCCTGACTGCTCTCTCTGAGAGTTGCTGGTGGCATCATTTGGAATGGATCAAGATTAATTCCATCAAAATTACACCACTAAACTGGGACGTAATGAAGTTTTCATGATCAAGAAAACCTGGAAGGATCAAGGACTCCAGCACCTTTGACACATGTTAACTCTTCCCATGAACATGGACTTTTCCCATTCACATGGTCCCTTCTTAAAAACTCTTGCTTTTTCCCATCTACCCATTTACATATCAAGGAGCAAAGAAATAATTAATTTGCCCACGGTATCAAAGGAAGCTCATAGGAATCAAGATAACATTAAATTTCTTCGGTTTCAATATTTCAGCAACACAGGTGTAGACCAAACTCATTGCAGACTAGGATGAAGTTGATATTTTCCCTTGGGCAAAGAATTACAGTTTGAATTGACCCTGCTCTGAGTTCACAGTGGATCTGGCCCTACAGGAAAAGGAACCGTTCAGTAACCAGACATGCCCAAGGACACTAAGGGCCTGCACAACAGGGAACAGAAGAAACCCTAGAGACTGTCCAACGGCTAGTTATGGAACAGTGAACTTGGATGCCTCCAGCAGGAATGTGATCTCTTTTTTCTCTCCCAACAATAAAATTGTCCAGGGGCCTCCCACCTTGCTGGAAAGCTTTTGAACTACCCCCTCCCAATTTAAGCTTTGATTTACAATGGATGCTATTTTTGAATAGTCCTTCAGAGAAGGAGCAACACAAAAAAGAATTGGTAATATATACTGCAAAAGATCATTACAGTTCACAGGTGAGTATTTTACATCTAACCTGACGTGTTTTGGCTGTAAAGCAAAGGAGGCAGTTTATAGTATGACTAATTTTCTTTGAATTTCTCAATGATTTGGAAGCCTATTTTGAACGATTTTTTCCTTTTTGTGCACCTGATACCACACATATCAAGTTTTTTCTGCTTTCTATTATTTTGAGGTATAGTCTCATACATGGATCAAAATTCACCACACTGGGCTGAAGAGATAGAACAGAGGTTAGGTTAGGATGCTAGACTACCATGTGATTAGCTTTAGTTCGATCCCTGGTATATCATACGTCCCCGTGAGCACCACCAGGCATAAGCATCAGGCCAAGAGTAAGCCCAAAGCACAGCCAGGTATGGTCAAAAACTTTTTGCATGTTACTTGAGATCCATAGGTTGATTCTAAAATTTTATATTATGGAACAACAATGATAAAATTGCAGATTGTCCTTAATATCACCCTGATAGGATATGAACATACACATCATATAGCCCAAATTTCCCCGTAATTTAGCAGTTATGTATTGATCCAACAATGCTATATAACTAGCAACCAAAAATCTCAATGGCACAACTATCTTTTATTTATATGCCTTGGATTTCTAGGTGATTCCCAGACAGATCTGCTGCTCTTGGTTGGATTTGCTTACAAGACTGTGGCTAGTTTCTGCTAGACTCATGTGGCTACCATTAAATGTGGCTACCATCACTCTTTAGCTTGGCTGGCCCAGGCATGTTCATGGTGAGGGCAAAAGAGCAAAGTATAAGCCCATAGATCAAGTTCATTTCAAGCCTCTGCATGCATCCTATCAGCCAACAGCTGGGAAAAATAAGTGTCATGGCAAAGAACACACTCACATGACCTTCAGTAGGATAGTGTTATAAAGAAATATAACCTAAGATATAACATGTGAAAGGTGAAGAACGTATCCATCAATGCAATTGACCATATGTCCTTACACAGTTCTTACAATTACCTACATACTTCATAGACCTATTTTTAATGCCTCCATTTGTGGGGTGGGAGGTGGGGGGTTACCAAGCAATGCTCAGAAAAGTCAGAAGCTACTCTTGGTAATACTTGGTCAATCATGTCAGACGGTTCAATTCTCAGGCTTGGTGCTGCAGTGCTGCTCAGGCCAGCCATTTTGAGGGTCACAGAATTCAGTAGGAATATAATACCTGGGGTCAAACGTGGGTTCTCACAGGCACAAGGCTGCCCTTTGAGCTATCTTTCTGACCCATCAATGTCTCCCTATCTTTAGACTGAAGAATGGCCTCATTTTATAAGTCTTATCAATTTCATGAAATGTAATAGAAATAGCATCACCCCCTTTTATTGTTTATCTCTTTAGAATTTTCAAAAGCAGCACCTTTCTGGTATGAAGAGATTTTATCAACATAACGACAAACACTCCACCCTCTTTTGTTCCATCTCAAACTATTTTTTTCTTCATACAGCAAATTTTTTCCTTTACAACACCCTCAGATTCCTTTAAATCATTACCATTTGCGGTGTGGAGAGAGAGGGAGCATTCTCCATTTCTAAAGTTCTTCCCTGAACTATGACCACTAGCAGCAGATTACACGTCACCTGCTTACTCATCTTGGTGCCTCTATAGTGCCTGATCCGTCTCTTGTGGGAGTTCCTACAGCTGCACCTAAGTGCATGAATACTTTACACTACTTGAGAAAAGAGATTTGAGCCCCCTGCTTGCTTCTTGAGTTCAAACACTTTCAGCATCCTTTAAAGGGCTCAAAACTTTCCTGTGTTCTGGTCACACTTTGTGATTTATGCTCTTTCATTGTTGGCATTTGCCCAAAGCAACCAGTATAATTCAAAAGGGAGAGGACTAAATAGTCAATCCAGAGATGATTTCAACAAATATCACATTTCATTCTGTAAGATGCCTTCTCAGCATCTGGGCATCCAGTAGAACTGTTCTGTGTCCCTTCAGCAATCACAGCCCCACTAAGACTAATAACAATGATGCCTTTTTGTTCTATGCTCAGTAGCATCAAGCACTATCTTGTTGGTTCTGCATACTAATTCATACTCATAGTAAATCTACAAGTCAGTTCATTTCCACAGATTAAAAATGTAATTAGGGTGCATAGAGGTAAATTAACCAGCTTAAGTTCACCCAATTAGAAAGCGGTAGAGACAGAATTTAGACGCAAGTAGTCTGACTGCAGAGTTCATCACTTGGCAGATACTGTTGTATTCCACTACTTGCAGAACTGTTCAGTTGAGAATGAAAGCAAACACATACTACACTATAGGAACCTCCAATCAAGTTCAAATTGTGTGGGGGGAACAAGAATTCAGAGGTGAAAAGTGGTAAAAGCAAAATGAGACAAGGGGAAAAAATCTTTGACAACACTGGGCAATCAAAATCTCTTAAATATCTTTAAACCTTAGAGAAATAAAAAAAAATCTGGGTCTCTTATTTAATCTGTTCAGTGAATATAAGAAATTTTATTTAGACATGCAACCCACTAATCATTTGAAATTATCAGTTTCTGAACTACATTTCTGGAAGAGTGTCACAAATACATTTTCTTCAATAAAATTGTTGAATTTTCTAGCACTAAACATGTAAAATTACTGCTTTGGGATCTGTGAAAAAATAAATTCTTAAATACTTGCACTTGTCAAGCCAAGCATCTCGATTTCTCAGAACATTCAGAAATTTGCCAAGGTGGGTATAATTATGAATTATGGTTTTCTTAGAGGGCTCTGGATGAATTCAGTGATCTGTGAAGGTCTCCCAGAGTTCCATGTCAATGAAAAATTTCCAAATCAGACGTATACCCCATCCAGGGTTAATGTCATTACTAGCTAACTCTTTACTAAGTGTACAACTGTAGTTTCAGTTAATGTATCATTGTAGAGAGACTTTAGATATTCCTGTTGAAATTGCCGACTTTGGGAAATTATTAGCTCCATAACATCCCATTTCTGTGAAATGTTTTGGACATATGACTATGATGAAGATTACAATGGTAACTTTAGAATTAAATTTCTTTGACTTCCAAGAATCAGGAATGAGACCAGTGAATTATTTTTTAACAATTTTTTCAAAAAAGCACCAAGGTCAATTTAATCATCCCTAGACTCCAGAATCAGAAATATATATATGCAAACTTCCAACTTCACAGCTCAAAGCATTTCTTTGACTTTAATTTTCAGATTAATCAGCAATAATCTAATCTCTACAAAGCAATAACCCCCTCCTCATTGCCTCCCACTGTCCCTGCCACTTACCAAAAGAACTTACCATTTTTTTGGCATTTTCATCGGTAATATTGGTGTTATAATCCCAGGAAGCAAGTGAACTATTGTAAGACAGGTCTTCGACTTGCTTGTTAAAGTTGTCCAAAAATTTCTTGGCATCTTCTTGAGTTTGAGCAGCAGTCACAGCAGCAAGGCTGAGGAGCAGCCAGGAAGAGAGTAACATCTTTCCCTGTGCTCCAAGCTCCCATCCACTGAACAACTTTCCCTAGAGTCAAACCTCTTCATGAGTTGTCTCTCTCATTAGCCTTTGAACTTGGGTTGGGCACTGAGCAGCGAAGACAGTGGGAGAGGGATGGAGGGCGGGGAAGAGAAGAAGAAACAGAAAACAATCTGCTGAACCAACATAAAGTTCTTCATGGAAAGAACAGATATGCAAACTGTTTTTTTAAAGTAAATAAAACAAGTGTTATTCATTAATCCTAGAAAATCATAACTCACTTAACACATTATAGCCAAAGCAAAGCTTTTGTATTTGCTCAATATGATCCTTTTAAAAAATGGTTGAAAATCGGGGCTAGAGTGATAGTACAGAGAGTAAAGCACTTGCTTTGCATGCTGCTGACCTGGGTTTGATCCTGAGCATTCCGAATGGATCCCTGAGCTCTGTCAGGAGTGATACCTGAGTACTGCTGAGTGTGTCCCCTAAACCAAGAAATGTAGTTAAAACTATAGTGATAGGGGCCGGAGAGATAGTAGAGGTGGTTGCATACTTGCTTTGCATGTAGCTGACCCCAGCTTCAATTCCTGGCTCCCCATAGGGTCCCCCAAGCACCACCAGGAGTGATCCCTGAGTGCAGGAGCAGGATTAAGATCTGGGCATCATCAGGTGTGCCCCTCCCAACCCCCCCAAATTGTGATAGTGTATAATTTTAGTGACCAAAGAAGCCTAAAATTATGGAGTATGAGGTAATATTACTACCCATATTTTTCCAAGATCATTCCATTAATAGCTAACTATCCTGTTAAAAATTTTCAAACTCATATTTAGGAATCTCTTTCCTTAGGTTAAATTACCCCTTTCTAAGTAAACTATTTTGCCCTTGTCTCTATGGAATTCATTATTCTTATATATTTTCATTTCCGTGGCCCTTTTTTTCTATTGGGGGGTCCACACCTGACATGGCTTAGATGATACTCTCTTCTGAATACTTATAGGTTACAATCCATTGGTGCTTAGGAGACCATGTGGTTCCAGTGAGAACCCAAGCCTCCTGAACACACAGCATGCACTCTATCCCTTTGAGATATCTTCCCGGCTCCTTCATGGCTATTAAAAAACTTTAAGACTACCATTTACTTCACAGTGTCACTATCTTAATCTGGCTTGGAAAGAACTTGAAAGGTTTCCTTTTCTGTTTTTCAGATGACAGCATTAAACACTAGTTCCACGGTTGACTTCATTGTGTGCCTCTTCCCTGCTAAAATACAGGAAAAACGCATTATTACTTGTTAAAATGTAGTCGATTTCACCAAAAATAAGAATACCTCTTTATGATATGAAATTCAGCATGTCTACGTCAGGATTTGATCATCCATAACCTTGGGATCATAGCAACGCAGAAGTTGAAGAGTCTTCATGAGTTATCCTGTCGAATCTCAGGATCTTTGTCAAGATCCTCATTGCCAGGGTGTAAGTAAGGGTATCATAGATAAACACAGGAGCCACCTAAAAAAATCTGGGTTCAGGGACTGGAGTGATAGCACAGCGGGTAGGGCGTTTGCCTTGCATCCAGCCAACATGACCGACACAGGTTCAATTCCCAGCATCCCATATGGTCCCCTGAGCGCAATTCCTGAGTGCATGAGCCAGGAGTAACCCCTGTGCATCGCCGGGTGTGACCCAAAAAGCAAAAAAAAATCTGGGTTCATAGGACCACTTGTTTGTGACTGTGAAACCTTCACAAGGGGAACACATATCCTTTATCTAGAAAAACAAGTCTTTCATGTCCTTGGCAGTAACCAAGGCTTTTAAAAAATTTCGACTACTCCCCCCTAATTCAATGTGATAGATATTATTTTAGATTAAGGGAAAAAAGTATCAGTAATGTGGAAAGAATTTTTGCATTACAATAACTCATTCAAGTACTAGAGCAAAACAATTTTATTGCCCTCATAGAGTATGAAACTGAGTTTCAGAGAGCTTAGACAAATTGGCAAACCTTATTGAATTAGTAAGTGATTTGAAATTGTGCAAGGTGGCTCTGTCTATGTGTGGATCAATAGTCAAAGAGCAATATTGGAGGTGCAGAGAAAGAATGGCATGGGGACATCTACCTTCAGAAAAAAGAATCAATTTCCTTGTGCTACTCAAAAAGAGGTGGGTTCTCATTACCCTCGGTGTAAATCAAAGTACACTATCTTTCAAGAAATACAGTTCTTAACAAGTTTAAGCAAAAATGATAAAGAATGATAAATGATAAAGAAACTGATATTGGAGTAAATCAGTGGAATTTCAATAGATTCTTCCCACATTCCAGAAACCTGAGATTCACTGGCTTCTCATATCCTCATTATCAGAGGAACCAGACCAGGGAAGAGGGAATAGTATGGTAACATGAACAAAGATTTGGAATATTACTTTAATGGACAAGGAGCCAAGATAACAGAGTCAAGAAAATCTGGAAGCCAAGAGACCCTGAAAAACAAGGGAAATAGGAAGTTTTCTACAGAAATCTGTAGGAAAGAAAGCTAGCTCACGATAGTCAATTGTAAGCAGTGACTGGATTGTTGGAATTTTTGTTCACTGTCTACTGGGAAGTTCTGATGTTCTCTGATATTCAGAAGTGCTCTCTCAAAGTCTGTTCTTTAAAATCAACTAAAGAAAGACTTAGAAGATGGCACAAAGTAAATCAACTGAGGGGGGCCACAGCAATAGTACAGCAACTAGGTGATTTTCTTTGCATGTAGACAAGAGGGATTCAATCCAGCTTCCCATATGGTCCTTAGAGCACCACCAGGAGTAATTTTTGAGTGCAGAGCCAGGAGTAACCCTTAAGTATCACCAGGTGTGACCCCAAAATCAAAAAAAAAGAAAGAGAAGAAAAACCAATTGGCTCAAAAGAAATGGATTATCCTTGAGAAAGAATGAAAAGCTAAAGAGTCAGGGAATGTAGCTGGTGGAAAAGTACTTGCTTTGCACATGTGATAACCTGAGGATAAAGAAAGAAAGAAAGAAAGAAAGAAAGAAAGAAAGAAAGAAAGAAAGAAAGAAAGAAAGAAAGAAAGAAAGAGAAAGAAAGAAAGAAAGAAAGAAAGAAAGGAGGGAGGGAGGGAGGGAGGGAGGGAGGGAGGGAGGGAGGGAGGGAGGAAGGAAGGAAGGAAGGAAGGAAGGAAGGAAGGAAGGAAGGAAGGAAGGGAGAGTGAAGAAAGGAAGGGGTTAGAAGGGAGAGAGAGAGTAAGAGAGAGTGAGTGCAAGCAAGCAAGCCAGCCAACAAGTCAATCAGAAATATTAGGACACCTGAGAGGAGGAAACCTGAGATGAAAAAGAACTGTTCTTTTCAAAAGGGTTGGAGGATAAATGTCTTAAGAGGAAGAGGGAAGAGTTGGATCTTGACAGAACTATAAAATAAAAGTTTTAGAATATAGTTTGCTTTTGGAAAAAAAATTCTTGGGCTTGGGAAATGTGTTTCAGTGGTAGAGCATCTACCTTACATGACTGTGGCTTCAAGTTTTATCCTTGACACTACATTGCCAGGAATGATCCCTGGGAATACAACAAGTGTGACATCTGACATCATAACACAACAACAAAAATAAAATGTATTTCCCTGGTCTTAAACACATACATTGAGATATTAATTTAATCTAATTCATCTGATGCCTATTTACTTTACAATAAAAGACTAGAATTGTAAAAAGAAAGAGACCTAGTATATCTTTCATCTCAATGGAATGATTTAACAAAATTTGTTCTATCACAATCTAAATTTCTTAAAACGACCAAACAGTATAGTATTAATCAGACTTCTAATCAATTCATGATAAAACAGTAATAATCTTAATTCAGGGCCAGTGAGATAGCTCAAAGGACTGGGATGCATGGTTTGTGTGCGACAGCTCTAGGTTCTATCTCATGGTCTCCCAAGCACAACCTAGAGTGATGAAGCATCAAGTTTGGCATATCCATCTGCAAGGAGTGGCCCAAAAATCAGAACCAAAACCAAACCAAACCACTCAGATAAATAAAGCTCTTAAGTGTACAATTATTTCTACTATATGACAGACAATATTTTAAATATTGAATATGTTTTAAGAAGTAAGATGGGAACGTTCCTGTGACTCTCATTTTATAAGAGGTGGGATAAAGGGAAGAAACAAGTAACTGATGATATATAGTATAACTTCAGAATAGTCAGGAAAGGAAGATGGCAAACGACGGAGTAAAGGTGATGGGTGAGAGGGTGATATTTGAACAATGACCTGAAGGAAGGGATAGAAGCTATCTAGATTACTGGGGAGAACAGATCCAGGTCAAGGGAACAGCGAGTGAATAGGCTATATGTGGGCAGGTCTCAAGAACATCACATGTCTTTGTGGCCACCACCCAGTGTGTTTGGGGAAGTGGCAGGAGATTAAAAAAAATATGATGAGAAAGTGAGGGCCACACTAGTATGGTCCCATAGAAAACTATATGACTTTTACTTTGAGCAATGTGGAAAGATATTGGAGGTCTTCAGGCAGAGAAGGGTGCTGTAAAAACAATTTTAAAAGGATCACTCACTGCTCACTAAAAAAAACGAAATACTTAGGAGCTAAGGGTAGACACCAAGGAACCAGTTTGAGGACTATTACAGCAGCCCAATCCTGTGAGGGAAATTACAAGTTCAATATTGTAATTGAGAAAGAATTAGATACTCCACTTTCTTCTCCACATATATACTTATCATAGTTCAGCCCCCCTTGGCCATTGCTTTGCATTTATTTTTTTCCTTTTTATAAATTTATTTATTGAATCACCATGAGAGCAGTTACAAAGCTTTCGGGTTTAAGTCTCGGTCATACAATGATGAAACGCCAGTCCCTTCACCAATGCCCATTTTCCACCATCAAAAACCCCAGTGTACCCCCCATCCCACACCCTCCCCCCGCCGTGGGGCAGATGATTTCCACATTACTCACTCTACACTTTGATTACATTCAATATTTCAACACCAGACCCACCAT